CATGATCAGTGTGATTAGCCGAAGCTAGCAGAACAAATGAGAAAAGAAAGATGATAATTTTAGCAAACACGAAAGAGGACTTCATTTTTCTTCAAGTGAGAATGAATTGTTATTGCTTTGTGAGTTGAAGGATACAGATTACCACCTTAATTTATAGCAACATGATGATTCCATTGGGTATTAAAAAAAAAGGAAAGAATTCCACCAAAACATTTGACATTTTCATGAATTTCATCGTAACACTTGACATTTTCATGTTTTCCATCGTAACATTTGACATTTTCATGAATTCCATTGTAACAGTTGACATTTTCACGAGCGACAACTATTTTTCCACTTAATGAACAAGTGGATTGAATCTTGATTCCATTTTTTTTTTTTTAGAAAAATATTTATTCAACTAAACATATAAAGTCAACGAAATTCTAATCATGTAAAATCAACTATTTCCGCACTTCTATACGGCACTTAACAAGTGGATTGAACGTTGATTGATTATTTAACATCAACAACATGCGTTTGTTCAACTTAACGTTGCCAACAACAGATAATAGAAAACATATAATAAATTTGTGTTCCATTTTTTTAATCAAGCAAATAATAGACGTGTTTGGAATTGATCCCTTTTTATTTTTCACATTTTTTGAGAAAGAAAAAATGAAAATGTTTCCAAAATGAAGTTTGGCCTAATAAAGACAAAAAACAAAAATAAAAATGATTTTTTAGTTTAGTGTAAAATGAGAGAGAAATGAAAAACGACTTTCAGTTATTTTTTATTTTTTATTTTCATTTTCTCATCTCTCGAGTAGAGAGAGAGAAAGACATTAATAGGTTTTTTTATACTAAAAACAATCTCTTGATAAAACTACCAAACACATTTTTAAAAATGATTTATGTCTGAGATTGAAAATGTTTTCATTTTCGTTTTCATACAAAAAATAAAATCATTTTAGAACGAGTTCCAAACGCGCCCAATAATTCCATTTCATCCTTCTAGCTCTTTAATAGACATAAATAATTAAATTGACTTTCTTTTTTTATTTAAAGTATTTAAGTTTATAATTTCAGCTTGGAATTTTCGCTATTACTTAATAATACGCAAAAGATTTATATAAATTTGAGTCGCCGGCCATCAAACTTGTAGTTTTTTTCTTCCCTTTTTTTGTTTTTTGTTTTTAAGTTTAAGCGATAGATGGGAACGAGGCATGAGAGATTGAAGTCTGAAAGAGGTTGCGGAAAGAGTATTTCATATTTGAGCCTCAGAATAAACGGAAGATTTTATTTTTATTTTTATGTTTTATTTGACAACTGCGTTGGAGTAGTTGCAAGCGTATGTTGGCCTGACGATTTTATTTTTATTTTTATTATCTATTTCACAACTACGTTGGAACAAAACGCTGCAAAGAAACGTTTGTTGGTTTGAATAATGTGGGTGATTATTAAATGCCCCACTGAATCATTCTAAAAGGAATAAAAATTCTACATACTTATGACGAAGCATTCTACTTTGAAAAAGTTGCCCCGGCTATACACCACAAAAAAAAAAAAAAACAGAAAAAAAAAAGAAGAAACAATGATTGGTTGACTGAGTGTTGTTGTGAATTGTTATAAATGCGTGTCGATGTATACAACTATATGAATATGCATACGGTGTTTCTACAGTAGGTCAACTCCCTTTAGGATTTCAATCAATTATCCTCCATCTGGCCTACATGGCTAAGTTACTTGCCACTGGTGAGGGATCTGGATGAAGAGAGCTATGCTTGTTGCACATGAATTAGAGTAATCATAATTACCTCATGAAATTAAGCATCATAATTATCTTAAATGTATCTATTAAATCACACTTAAGAAAGACATGCATGAATCGCTTCTCTTCGTAACCAAAACAAGAACAATAATTTCCATTAGGCTTCCTTATGCAAAGAACGACGCTACTTTTTTTGTTATGTTTTGCGTATCATTAAGATGAAATGTAATTTTATCATTTTTTCTACTATACCCACTTACGAAAAGCGTGGTGAAAAGCCATTCTCCTTGTAGCATTTGCATATCATTTAAATGTGATTTTTTTTAATTGATTGGTAAACGTTCTTAATGATAGATCTTGTTAAAATTATACGCATATCAATTACATAAAAACACCGTCTATATCATTCATCATCTTAAAAGTACTATTATATGCACACAAATATATTTGTATGCGCACAATAGTACAAATAAACATGTTATAGTTAAACATAATTGTCACATATGTGATATACTAATGTCCACTTTATAACTTGTTTGAACATATATGACAAATAATGTCTATTTGTTACAAATAGACATATATGAGGTCATCTTTATTGTGAAGAAATTCAATAAAGAAATTGTGATATCAATTAAATAATGAATTGCCATAATAAAATGCTTCAATTTGTTCTTAGTTCTAAATAGGAAAATTATAGTAAATAACATATTTATAAAACTAAATTAAGTAAATAACATATTTTAAAATTATTTAAAGTAAATAACAGTTTATCGTATAAATGTTTGTTTTACGACTGATAAAAAATAATTTACATAATAAAAAGTAAATTATTTTTTATTTACATGAAAAAAAATTTACCAATCGTAAAAAGAAAATTTACATAAAAAAATTTTTACTAGTCAATAAAATATTTACGTAATAAACTGTTATTTACTTTAAATAATTTTAAAATTTACTGTTTACTTAATTTAGTTTTATAAATATGATATTTACTGCATTCGAATTGGTCTCAACTATTTGAGAGAGCTTGGCTTGGGGAGCAAGTTATACATATATGTTTCACGTTACAGGTGAAGAGTGAGTACTGAGATCCATCAAGAAAAAGAAAGCGATCGAAGCCAAAAAGGAAAAAGTGACTGCATGTGATGGAGATGATACCATTTATAATAATAAAAAACAATTTGAGGTTCGTAGCAGGTAAGATGTTTGGAGTGTACGTAGCTCAGAACTACAGAGTTCCTGACCTTAAAAAGCTCGTCAACAATGCCACTAAATCCGTCAAGTGCTACGAAAAGAGTCTTCGCAAGCCTAATTCCAAGACGTATTGATGTCGTTTTCCATTAGTGATTATTGTTTTTTTTTTCTTTTTAAATTCTTTTGATGCAATTGCAAATTGTAATCGAGCGATTTTTTATTTTATTTTATGTCATTTATAGAATTCTGAGAAGTTTTTGATTTATTACCTTTTTAGACTTTTTTGTTGTCTCCTACCATTTTGGGGTTTCCGGTTTTAGTCACAATTTTGCTTTTTGCTCTTTTTTTTTTTTTTTTTTTTTTTTCCAAGTAATCTTGGCTAATCATTTAAAAAAGATTTTTT